CCGGGATTCTGCAGCATCAGCTGCTCCCCAGCAATTCCCAGGGCAGGGACTCCTGCAGCTGCTGAGCCGGGCCCCAGGGGCTGGTGGAGAGCAGACCCCGCAGCGGGAGGAATGCCTGGTTTTAATCCTGCCCAGTGCAAGGCTGGGCGGTGCAATGGTTAGGGCGCTAGCTTCGGACTGGGGCGACGCCAGTGCTATGCCCTGCTCCGCCACAGCCTGCCTGGGTGCCCTTGGGCCAGTCACTTAGCTGCCCTGTGTCTTAGTCCCTGACTGTGCTGAGGCGAGCAGCCCTGCCTTGCCTACGGCGGGGTGTGAGAACAGAGCTTGTTTTACTAAAGGGAAATCATGCCTCACCAATCTACTAGAATTTTTTGAGGGGGTCAACAAGCATGTGGACCAAGGGGATCCAGTGGATATTGTGTACTTAGATTTTCAGAAGGCCTTTGACAAGGTCCCTCACCAAAGGCTCTTATGCAAAGTAACCTGCACCAGGATAAGAAGGAAGGTCCTCTCGTGGACTGATAACTGGTTAAAAGATAGGAAACAAAGGGTAGGAATAAATGGTCAGTTTTCAGAATGGAGAGAGGTAAATAATGGTGTCCTCCAGGGGTCTGTACTGGGCCCAGTCCTATGCAACATATTTATAAATGATCTGGAAAAAGGGGTAAACAGTGAGGTGGCAAAATTTGCAGATAATACAAAATGCCTAGAGTGGTAGCCGTGTTTGCCTGTATCAGCAAAAACCACGAGGAGTCCTTGCGGCACCTTAGAGACTAACAAACTTATTTGTGCATAAGCTTTTGTGGGCTAGAACCCACTTCATCAGATGCATGCAGTGGAAAATGGCCTAACCCCCTGCCTTCTCCAGCCCCCAGCACTGGGGCTGCTGCTGGGAATGGGAAGAATCCAGAAGGATAACGACGGCATTAGCACTGCCAGAGGCGCTGCCCAGGCCGGGGAGGAGAGAAGCCAAGCGCCCAAGGAACCAGGACCCCCCTTTCCTGGCACATCGTATTTCTCCTACTAGCTCAGCAGCGGAGCCCTCTCCTCCCGGTGATGCTGCACCAGCCCGGTCCAGCCCCCCCTTCTCCAAGCCTCGGAAGCTGCCACCTGGCAGCAGAAGCCAGGCCCAGGCCGGGCGCCCGTCTCCTCGGGCCCAGCTCCGCTGGCAGGTACAATGGGTGGCGTGTTGGGCTCTATTGACACAGGGCCGTAGTGCTGGTCCGTACCTGGCTGCCGGTCGGTGGGCAGGACGCTGGGCCGGGGCTGTTTGCGTTAGCGACAC